GGGAGGGGAGTGGGGGCTGGTGGTTAGAGCGGGGGGGCTGGGAGCCAGGACTCCTGGGTTCTCTCCCTGGCTCTGGGAGGGGAGTGGGGCTGGTGGCGTAGAGCGGGGGGGGGCTGGGAGCCAGGACTCCTGGGTTCTTTTCCAGGCTCTGCTACTGAGTCACTGTCCTTTGGCAAATTCCTCCCCTGTGCCTCAGTTTCCCTGCTGTGAGGTGGGGATGAGGCCTGTGGCCTCCAGGGGTGGGAGGCTTCGTTTTCCTGGGATCGGGGCGGTTGGGGGGGACGGGACGTGCATGTGGGCTGGGTGCTAGCCCCACGGCCCCAGGAGAAGGGCTGGGGGTGGGGGGTGGAGGCCCAGGGCTGTGACGTGGGGAGATGACCCCGCCCCCCCCCAACACTGCACAGATGCCACGTTCCTTTTATAGAAAACCTTTATTCCTGTAACACGGGGGTGGGGGAGGCCCAGGGGCCGGTAGCTACAGCAACCCCCCCTCCCCGGGGCTGGGTGGGGGCCACCGTGCTGCCTGGCCTGTTAACTCTTCGCTTCCCACCAGCCCCAGGCAGATGCCCCATTCTCAGGGCCGTGTGCCCGGGGAACCCCGTCCCTCACCAGTGGGCCCCGAGCCCCCCAGACCCTCCCGCCAGGCTGGGACCCCCCCCCAGGCTATGCAGGAGGGTGAGGTTGGTTCTCCCAGGGGAGGGGAGGGAAGGGGGGTAAATTGGACCTCAGCCCCCAGGGCCCCCCCACCCCATGGGGAACACTTGGCCAAAGAGCCCTCCAGTTGCTGCCTGGCTCCTACGCCCCCCTCTGTCCCTGGGGGCCCCCCATCTCCCCATCCTGCTCTGGGGGGAGCCCCACACCTGTTACCCCACTCAGAGCCGTGGACGCTGGGCCAATCGCCTCAGAGGGCTGGGGGGAGTCTAGGCGAGGGGGCTGGGGGGCCCACTGACTGGAGAGAAGCCTCACGTGGCCCCCCGGGGATGGATAGTGACCCCCCCTCCCCCAGAGTCTGCCTGCTGGAGAGGACAACAGGGTAACATCCTCCTAGTGCTGCCAACTGGAGTCGCCCCCTGAGCCCAGGGGGCAGGCTGGGCTTAGCACGGACGGGGGTTCACGCCCCAGGGGGGGATCGCTTGGCCCCAACCCCTGGGGACTCCCCCCCTTGCCCCCTGTCCCCGGGGTGGGCAGCCCGAGAGCTACACAATAAATACCTCCCTGCCCCCGCCCCCCGGCACGGGCTCTTGGGCCACCCCTCAGGCCCGGGGCCGGGCGGGGATGCAGGCGTGGGGGGGCTGGCTCAGGACGGAGCCGCGGGGGCAGAGGCAGCGGTAGGAGCCGGCCGTGTTGAGGCAGCGCCCGTTGAGGCAGAGCGCGGGGGGGCCTTCGGCCTCGGCGCACTCGTCGATATCTGTGGGGAGGAGAGGGAGAGGGTGAGGGGCGCGGGGGGGTCCCTGGGGCGTTCGCGGGGCGGGGGGTGGGCTATGCGGGATAGTCAGGGAATCAGGGTGGGGG